TACATGATTATATACACATGGAAAATCCTAGAGGGACTAGTACCGAACTTGCAAACGAAAATCACTCACTACGAAACCAAAAGACTTGGCAGACGATGCACCATCCCCCCAATGAAAAGCAGGGGTGTTACTAGCACGTTAAGAGACCATACAGTAAGTGTCAGGGGCCCGAGACTGTTCAACTACCTCCCAGCATACATAAGGGGGATTACCAACAGACCCCTGGCAGTCTTCAAGCTGGCACTGGACAAGCACCTAAAGTCGGTTCCTGACCAGCCGGGCTGTGGCTCGTACGTTGGTTTGCGTGCAGCCAACAGTAACAGCCTGGTTGATCAGGCTCTGATCCACCAGGAGGCCTGGTCACAGACCGGGCCGCGGGGGCGTTGACCTCCAGAACTCTCTCCAGGTAAACTCCAGGTAATATATGTTCTAGCAGTGTGTATAACAGAATCATTAGTATTTTTATTAGGCATAAACCAAAATTGACAGGGGTTGAATATGTTTTGGGAGATGAGGTAGGAATAGATTCGCTGATAAATTAATTTTTGGAAGATTTTAGAGAGAGGGTGTAAGTTGGATATTGGCCTATAGTTATTCAAGTCTGTTTGGTCTCCTCCTTTATGAATCGGGGTGACCCTTGCTATTTTGAGAACTGTAGGGAAGGTAGAGGATTCGATGGATTTGTTAAAGTGTTGCAATGATTGGTGATAGCACTTGTGACGCTTTTTTGTATATAAAGGGTGGTAAGGTATTTAAATCTGTCTTGTTTTTTGGTGCGTTGATAATAAGGGAGACTTCAGTTGGGTTAGTCGGAGCTAGGAACAGTGTGTTCGGGTAGTTGCCAGTGAGGTAGTCATTGGGTGGGGTATCTGAGCTTGGGATTTTATTGGCAAGGTTTTTTCCTAGAGTGGAGAAGAAATCATTGAGTGTGTTTGCTGTTTCACATGGTGGGAGTTGGGGTTCATCTGATTTTGTTAATTTAATATCGCTATTTCGTGACATCTTTTTTATTCGTAGAATTTCTGATAGGATTTTCCAGGTCTTTTTTATGTCACCTCGTAAGTTGGATAATCTGTTCTCATAATACAATTTTTTAGCCCTTCTTATCAGGCTGGTTAGGACTGACGAGTAACGTTTTGTTTGGTCTCTGGTTATGTGACCTATTCTGTACTGTTTTTCATATAGGTGCTTTGTATTTATGGATTTGAGGATGCTGGGTGTTAGCCAGGGACTGTTACTATTGTAAATACAAAATCTCAATGTACTGTTTGCAAAGACATAAAATGAATAAATAAATAAATAAATAAGCATCTAGGTTCGATTCCCAGCGAGGGTAGACACATTAGGCGTGTTTCTTTTCACTGGTTGTCTATGTTCACCATCAGTAAAATAGGTACCTGGGTGTTAGTGGACTGGTGTGGGTCGCATCCTGGGACAAAACTGACGTAATTTGCCTGAAATGCTCAGCATAACAAGCAGCTTTCTATATAGCAGTATGTCAGTTAGGACTGTATACCTTGTACATGTACTTGTAGAAATAAAGATTATTATTATTATATTAACATTATTATTATTATTATTATTATTATTATTATTATTATTATTATAATAATCAAGGGGAAGCGCTAAACCCGTAGGATTATACAGCGCCTGGGGGGGGGATGTGGAAGGCATTCAGGCTTAATTCGGGGAACTGGAGCACAGATCCAATTCCCTAAATCAAGAGCCCCTCACCAACATCAAGGAACCTTCCCTGAGGGGATTATATTAACAATTATCCTAGAAAAAAAAATCAAGAAAATCATACAATATGATCAATTTCAGGCACATTTATATTGCAGAGAATGGTGAAATAATTGCAGCATATTGCGCAACTACCCTCAATTTTTTCTCTCTCTCTCTCTCTTATAAGGTAAAAAATATTGACTCATCAACCATATCTCAGAATGGTTTCAATAAGTGATGCAATGTGTGAGTTACAGCTAGATAAATTCAGTAAAGTTAGTTTACCATCTTTATTACCCACCCCACGTTTACTGTGTGGTAGGTAGTCGAGAGAGGCACATAATGGGACCTAGGTCCTGAGACTGGTTCCAGGTACTAGGTCCAGGGACTGGGTCCAGGTACTAGGTCCAGGGACTGGGTCCAGGTACTAGGTCCAGGGACTGGGTCCAGGTACTAGGTCCAGGGACTGGGTCCAGGTACTAGGTCCAGGGACTGGGTCCAGGTACTAGGTCCAGGGACTGGGTCCAGGTACTAGGTCCAGGGACTGGGTCCAGATACTGGGTCCAGGTACTGGGTCCAGGGACTGGGTCCAGGTACTAGGTCCAGGGACTGGGTCCAGGTACTAGGTCCAGGGACTGGGTCCAGGTACTAGGTCCAGGGACTGGGTCCAGATACTGGGTCCAGGTACTGGGTCCAGGGACTGGGTCCAGGTACTAGGTCCAGGGACTGGGTCCAGATACTGGGTCCAGGTACTGGGTCCAAGTACTGGGTCCAGGGACTGGGTCCAGGTACTAGGTCCAGGGACTGGGTCCAGGTACTAGGTCCAGGGACTGGGTCCAGATACTGGGTCCAGGTACTGGGTCCAAGTACTGGGTCCAGGGACTGGGTCCAGGTAAGATTAGATTAGATTAGATTAGATTTCGTTCGGATTTTTAACCCCGGAGGGTTAGCCACCCAGGATAACCCAAGAAAGTCAGTGCGTCATCGAGGACTGTCTAACTTATTTCCATTGGGGTCCTTAATCTTCTCCCCCAGGATGCGACCCACACCAGTCGACTAACATCCAGGTACCTATTTGCTGCTAGGTGAACAGGACAACAGGTGTAAGGAAACGTGTCGAATGTTTCCACCCGCCGGGAGTCGAACCCGGGCCCTCCGTGTGTGAAGCGGGAGCTTTAGCCACCAGGCCACCGGGCCACCTAATAGGTCCAGGGACTGGGTCCAGGTACTAGGTCCAGGGACAGGGTCCAGGTACTAGGTCCAGGGACTGGGTCCAGGTACTAGGTCCAGGGACTGGGTCCAGGTACTAGGTCCAGGGACAGGGTCCAGGTACTAGGTCCAGGGACTGGGTCCAGGTACTAGGTCCAGGGACTGGGTCCAGGTACTAGGTCCAGGGACTGGGTCAGTAAGTTTATTCAGGTATACACAAATACAGTTACAAAGATTATCATATATAGCAGTATGTGTGTAGACAACCCATGATAACCCAAAAAAGTCAGAGTTAGTTAGTTTAATATATTTATTATGTACCCCATATCCATCCTGTGGGTGGTAGTCAAAAGATTACAGAGGTACATAATGGGTCCAGGGACTGGACCACCAAAGTTATGATAGCTGAACAAGGTACAAAAGTAATGAACTCACAAGTTATAAATATAATGATCTGAATCCTCTACACGTCTTATACATAGTTACAATCATGAATAAAGTATAAAATATTGAACAACTGACACGTTCACACCAGGTCACAACTGTAATGAGTTATTAGTGCTAATATTAATTGTTGGGTCACACAGAGTGACTTATTTCCATTGGAGTCCTTTTATTTTCATTGGGGTTCAGGGACTGGGTCCAGGTACTGGGTCCTGGGACTAGGTCCAGGGACTGGGTCCAGGAACTGAGTCCAGGGACTGGGTCCAGGGACTGGGTCCAGGTACTGGGTCCAAGGACTGGGTCCAGGGACTGGGTCCAGGGACTGGTTCCAGGGACTAGGTCCAGGTACTGAGTTCAGGTACTGGGTCCAGGGACTGGATCCAGGGATTAGGTCCAGGGACTGGGTCCAGGGATTAGGTCCAGGGACTGGGTTCAGGGACTTGGTCCAGGGACTAGGTCCAGGGACTGGATTCAGGGACTGGGCCCAGGGACTGGGTCCAGGTACTGGGTCCAGGTACTGGATCCAGGTACTAGGTCCAGGTACTGGGTCCAGGTACTGGGTCCAGGTACTGGGTCCAGGGACTGGGTCCAGGGACTGGGTCCAGGGACTAGGTCCAGGGACTGGATCCAGGTACTGGGTCCAGGGACTGGGTCCAGGGACTGGGTCCAGGGACTAGGTCCAGGTACTGGGCCCAGGGAATGGGTTCAGGGATTAGGTCCAGGGACTGGGTCCAGGGATTAGGTCCAGGGACTGGGTTCAGGGACTTGGTCCAGGGACTTGGTCCAGGGACTAGGTCCATGTACTGGATCCAGGTACTAGGTCCAGGTACTGGGTCCAGGGACTAGGTCCAGGGACTGGGCCCAGGGACTAGTTCCAGGGACTAGGTGCAGGGACTAGGTCCAGGGACTGGGTCCAGGGACTGGGTCCAGGGACTAGGTCCAGGGACTGGGTTCAGATATAATGGTAGGTTATGTCAGGTTACAGTGGTCATTAACCATCTGAAAGTTAATGAAGTTGCTACAGGTTTCAGTATCACAAGAAGCCCAGTGGAAGTAAGTCACTGTTTTTTTTCGGGTTATCCTAGGTAATATACTCTACCTGGAGAGGGTTTTGGGGGGTCAACGCCCCCGCTGCCCGGTCCTGGTTGCGGGTGGGTGGTCCTGGCGGGCGGGTGGGTGGTCCTGGCGGGCGGGTGGGTGGCTGGATGATCCTGGTGGGCAGGTGAGTTGTCATGGTGGGTGGTGGGTGACTGGTGGGCGGGTGAAGTGGTCCTGGTGGGTGGGTGGGTGATCCTGGTGGGCTGGTGAGTTGTCCTGCTGGGTGGTGGGTGACTGGTGGGCGGGTGGAGTTGTCCTGGTGGGTGGGTGATCCTGGTGAGTTGTCCTGGTGGGTGGGTGATCCTGGTGAGTTGTTCTGGTGGGTGGGTGATCCTGGTGAGTTGTTCTGGTGGGTGGGTGATCCTGGTGAGTTGTTCTGGTGGGTGGGTGATCCTGGTGAGTTGTCCTGGTGGGTGGGTGATCCTGGTGAGTTGTTCTGGTGGGTGGGTGATCCTGGTGAGTTGTCCTGGTGGGTGGGTGATCCTGGTGAGTTGTCCTGGTGGGTGGGTGATCCTGGTGAGTTGTTCTGGTGGGTGGGTGATCCTGGTGAGTTGTTCTGGTGGGTGGGTGATCCTGGTGAGTTGTTCTGGTGAGTTGTCCTGGTGGGTTGGTGGGTGTGTAGCAGCAGTAGGAGAGTAACACTGGTGAAGGCAAGACGTGTGCTTCAACACTTGCAACATTCACAGTAATCCCAGACAACATCGTGCAACATTTCATCAACCACAATGAACACCAGATCTGCTAGACAAGAAGTAAGCAGGATGAGGGGAGCATTAAATAGGTTTATTCAGGTAGACATAAATACAGCTACATAGCAGTACATGTGTACATTACCCAGGATAACACAAAAAAATCAGTGACTTTAATAATAATAATCTTTATTTCTACAAGTACATGTACAAGGTATACAGTCCTAACTGACATACTGCTATATAGAAAGCTGCTTGTTATGCTGAGCATTTCAGGCAAATTACGTCAGTTTTGTCCCAGGATGCGACCCACACCAGTCCACTAACACCCAGGTACCTATTTTACTGATGGTGAACATAGACAACCAGTGAAAAGAAACACGCCTAATGTTTCTACCCTCGCTGGGAATCGAACCGAGACGTCGCTGTGTGAAGCAAGAGTTTTAGCCACCAGAGCCCTGCTTATTTCCAATGGGGTCTTTTTAATACCTTATTATTATACCATAAAGGAGATAATACTGTATTATTATTCTATAATGGAGAAATACTAGGAATAGGGATCCCAATTGAAATAATTCAATCTGACTTATTTTTGGTTATCTTAGGTTCTCTACATATGTTGCTATGTATGATAATATATGTAACTGTATTTGTGTATACCTGAATAAACTTCCTAAGGTAAACTTGAGTTACTATTTATATTTACACGTGTATTATCTGTATAAAAAATCATTCTCCCTTTCTGTCACTACATTCATAGTGACTTTTGGCTCACTAATTGAACTGGCTCATGCTATGACTGGCTTTGACATGTATACCTGGAATTCAAATGAGTTTCGGGGGTCACTGCCCCCGTGGCTTCGTCTGAGACCAGGCCTCGTGGTGGATCAGGGTCTGACCAACCAGGCTGTTACTGCTGGCCGCACGCAAACTGACATACGAACCACAGCCCAGCTGGTTAGGTACTGACTTTAGGTGTTAGTCCAGTGCCTTCTTGAAGACAGTCAGGGGTCTATTGGTAATCTGCCTTGTGTATGCTGTGAGGCAGTTGAACAATCTTGGGCCCCGGACACTTATTGTGTTGTTTCTCATTGTACTCGTGGCACCTCTGCTTGTCATTGGGGGAATGTTGCATCTCCTGCAGAGTCATTTGCTTTCATAGGAAGTGATTTTCATATGCAAGTTTGGTACTAATCCCTCAAGGATTTTCCAAGTGTATACGTACCTATTATCATGCATCTCTCTCGCCTGAATTCCAGGGAATACAAATCAAGGGACTTCAAATGTTCCCAGTAATTTAGGTGCCTTATCATACTTATGTGTGTCATGAAAGTTCTTTGTACACTCTCCAGGTCAGCAATTTTGCCTGCCTTGAAGGGGGCAGTTAGTGTACAGCAGTATTCCAGCCTAGAGAAAACAAGCGATTTGAAGAGAATTATCATGGTCTTGGCATCCCTATCATTTTCCTAGCAGATGCAGTAGATACAATGTTGTGGTCTTTGAAGGCGAGATCCTCTGACATTATCACTCCCAGGTCCTTCACATTTATGTATTTACTTATTTATTCATTTATTATTATTTGGACAAATACATAGATACATAGTTGTACAAAAGAAATACAGTGGTTGAGTGTACATGTCAAAAGCCCCTTGTATGCAGAGCATTGTGGGCAGGCTTAAAATTAACTTAAAATTAAATAAGCATTGATATATTCAGTGGTAAAAATACAGTAAACAAATTACAACATGTATTTGAAATAAGAGGCTTCATAGTTGTACAAATTTGTAACACATTACATTTTTGCACTATTGTATGGTTAGAATTTGTTGTATACCCTGATAAAGCTTTAATTTCCTCAAGTTTTCCATATCTAGTAGTTGAAATTTCTCTTCATTGACCTTCATATTGTGTTGAGTGGCCCATTTGAAGATTTGGTTGATGTCCACTTGGAGTCTTGTGGTGTCTTCGATGGAGGTCACTGTCGAGGCAATTCGGGTGTCATCCGCAAAGGAAGACATGGAGCTATGGCTTACTTTTCTGTCTATGTCAGATATGAGGATGAGGAATAGAATGGGAGCGAATAATGTGCCTTGTGGAACAGAGCTTTTCACTGTAGCTGCCTCAGACTTTTCTGTTTACTATTACTCTTTGTCTTCTTTTTGTCAGGAAGTTATAGATCCATCTACCAACTTTTCCTGTTATTCCTTTATCATGTATTTTGTGTGCTATTACACTATGGTCACACTTGTCGAAAGCTTTTACAAAGTCTGTGTATTCTACATATGTATTTTGTTTATCCTCTACAGCATCCAGAACTATGTCATAGTGGTCCAGTAGCTGGGACAGGCAGGAGCAACTTGCTCTAAACCCGTATTGCCCTTCCTGCCTGGAGTCTACCTGGAGGCATTCCAGGGATCAATGCCCCTGTGGCCTGGTCCACGACCAGGCCTCCCGGTGTTGTGTAATTGATGGATATCTAGATGGTTGGTGATCTTGCTTCTTAGAACCCCTTTCAAAGATTTTATTGATATGGGATGTTAATGCTATCGGTCTGTAGTTCTTTGCAATTGCTTTATTGCCACCTTTGCAGAGTGGGGCTATGTCTGTTGTTTTTAGTGAGTGTAGGATGGCCCCTGTGTCCATGCTGCCTCTCCATAGAATGCTGAAGGCACATGAAAGGGGCTTCTTGTAGTCCTTGATGAACACGGAGTTCTGTGAGTCTGGGCCTGGGCCAGAGTGCATGGGCATGTCATTTATTGCCTTTGTAATTGTAATGTTTATGTCTGTAAAGATTACAATGTGGGGTTTACACATAATAAAATATTAATTACAATGTGTGGTTTACATATTACAGTGGACCCTCGCCTAACAATATTAATCCGTTCCTGAGAACTCAACGTCAGGCGAAATTATCGTTAGCCGAATTAATTTTCCCCATAAGAAATAATGGAAATCAAATTAATCCGTTCCTGACACCCCAAACTATGAAAAAAAAATTTTTTTACCACATGAAATATTAGTTTTAATACACACAAACTGAAGAAGACATGTACAATTACATGACACCTTTATTGAAGATCTGGTGATGATTGATGGGATGGGAGGAGGGGAGAGTGTGGATGGTGTTAATGTTTAGAAGGGGAATCCCCTTCCATTAGGACTTGAGATGTCAAGTCCTTTTCTGGGGTTACTTCCCTTCTTGTTTTAATGCCAATAGGACCAGCTTGAGTCACTGGACCTCTGTTGCACAACATATCTGTCCATAGAGCCCTGTACCTCCCGTTCCTTTATGACATTCCTAAAGTGTTTCACAACATTGTCAGTGTAATAGTCACCAGCACGGCTTGCAATAGCTGTGTGAGGGTGATTTTCATCAAAAAAGGTTTGCACTTTAAGCCACATTGCACACATTTCCTTAATCTTTGAGTAGGCTACTTCCTCAATTTCTCTATCCCTCCTCTGGAGCAGTTTCCTCAGGTCTGGCATCTTGCTGTTGAAGATGATCTTGTAGCTCATCAGTGGTTAGTTCATCATTGTCCTCCTCCACCAACTCTTCCACATCCTCCCCACTAACCTCCAACCCCAAGGACTTCCCCAATGCCACAATTGATTCCACAACTGGCATAGGCTTCTCAGGGTTAGCCTCAAATCCTTCAAAATCCCTTTTGTCTACACATTCTGGCCACAGTTTCTTCCAAGCAGAGTTCAAGGTCCTCTTAGTCACTTCCTCCCAAGCCTTACCTGTAATGTTTACACAATTGAGGATGCTAAAGTGATCTCTCCAAAACTCTCTTAGTCAATTGAGTTTCTGAGGTCACTACAAAGCACCTTTCAAACATAGCTTTTGTGTAGAGTTTTTTGAAGTTTGCAATGACCTGCTGGTCCATGGGCTGCAAGAGAGGAGTGGTATTAGGAGGCAAAAACTTGACCTTAATGAAGCTCATTTCTGCAGAAAGTTGCTCTGCCACGTCTGAAGGATGACCAGGAGCATTGTCTAATACCAGGAGGCACTTAAGGTCCAATTTATTTTCCAGGAGGTAATTTTTCACAGTGGGGGCAAATGCATGGTGTAACCAGTCATAGAAAAAGTCCCTAGTGACCCATGCCTTACTGTTTGCCCTCCACAGCACACACAAATTTGCCTTGAGGACATTGTTTTTCCTGAACACTCTGGGAGTTTCAGAGTGATACACCAATAAAGGCTTCACTTTGCAATCACCACTAGCATTAGCACACATCAACAGAGTAAGCCTGTCTTTCATAGGCTTATGTCCTGGGAGTGCCTTTTCCTCCTGAGTAATGTAGGTCCTGCTTGTCATTTTCTTCCAAAACAGGCCGGTTTCGTCACAATTAAACACTTGTTCAGGTTTCAATTCTTCACTGTCTATGTACTCCTTGAATTCCTTCACATATTTTTCAGCTGCTTTTTGGTCCGAACTGGCAGCCTCACCATGCCTTATCACACTATGTATGCCACTACGCTTCTTAAATCTCTCAAACCAACCTTTGCTGGCCTTAAATTCACTCGCATCACTAGTTGCAGGCATTTTTCTAATTAAATCGTCATGCAACTTCCTAGCCTTTTCACATATGATCGCTTGAGAGATGCTATCTCCTGCTATCTGTCTTTCGTTTATCCACACAAATAACAGTCTTTCAACATCTTCTATCACTTGCGATCTCTGTTTTGAAAACAAAGTGGCACCTTTTGCAAGAACAGCTTCCTTGATTGCCGTTTTCTTGGCCACAATAGTAGCGATGGTTGATTGGGGTTTTGTGTACAACCTGGTCAGCTGGGAGACATGCACTCCACTTTCATACTTAGCAATGATCTCTTTCTTCATATCCATAGTAATTCTCACCCTTTTTGCTGTAGGGTTGGCACTAGAAGCTTTCTTGGGTCCCTTGGTGACTTACTTCGCAGGTGCAATCACAAAAAAATGCTGTGATAATATGAAATGTTCTGATTGTATGTTTGGATGCAACCACGGTGGCTGGCTTGTAAACACTGGCACTCACGGGACAAGTGAGGCGCGCTCAGGTGCAAGTGGACACATCTCAAACAGAAGGAATCGCGTTGGGCGAGCTTTTTAGCGCTAGCCGAGGCAAAATTTTTGCATTAAAATGTATCGCTAGGCGGATTTATCGTTATGCGATGCATTCGTTAGGCGAGGGTCCACTGTATAAAATATTAATTACAAAGAAGGCCACTAACATGCCTAGGCATTTTGGGCAGACTAATACTAATTCATACTCTATATTATAGACAAAGGTTATGGAGCATACTGATATTAAAGTTAGGTAACTGTATTGATAAAATAGATTTCCAGCAGTGAGGTAGTTCAAAACATTTATGAATATAGCAATTTGTATTAATTTATATTAATTTATATTAAAGCTCTATATTGGAGTAACTCAGGCAAACTTATGACTAGCTTAACCGTTAAACTGTCTAAACGTAGAGCTACGTTTTCACTGCCAGCTCTCGGAATATTTTGAAAAATAAAAAAAAAATAGTTTTTTTTTTTAATTAACCCGTAAACGGTCCAAGCAGATCTACGTTCACATGTGTAGTGCTACAAAAGTAGATCTAATTTTTTTTTACATATTTTCAAATATAACAAAAAAAAAAAAGTAGATCAAAGTTTTTTTACACATTTTCAAATGTAGAAAAACAAAAAGAAGGTCTACTTTGTTTTACATACTTTCAAATGTTGAAAAAACGTATATATACGTTTGGACCGTTTACGGGTTAAAGAGGGCAATTTTCTCTGTATTATAAGACCAAAAAATCAATTTTAGAACTAGTACTTACCGAAATATAAGACTGTAAAGTTGGTGCTGGATGCTCCCCTGACAGCAATATGGAGTCCTGCTGCTTGCAGAAGTGTTGCCAATATACCTTTTTTCTCCTTTTTATTTTAATTTATATAATTTATATGTTTTGATAATTACAATTTATAATAGTTCTTGTGATTTCATAGCCAATCTTTGTTCTGGCACTAATATTAGGTACTGAAATAGTACTCAAATAGTCTCAATCAAACAAGCAGGTGTACATTTTCACCTGCCTCGGCTAATGATATTAATCCGTTCCAGAGAGCTCATCGTTAGACAAAATTATTGTTAGCTGAATTAATTTTCCCCAAAAGAAATAATGGAAATCAAAATCCGTTCCTGACACCCCAAAGTATGAAAAAAAAATTTTTACCACATGAAATAGACATTTTCCTATACAAAAAAAGAAGACATGCACAATTACTACTATACTAAATAAAGAATACATGACACCTTTATTGAAGATCTGGTGATGATTGATGAGATGGGAGGAGGGGAGATTATGGATGTTATTAATTTTTGGAAGGGGAATCTCCTTTCATGAGGACTTGAGGTAGCAAGTCCTTTTCTGGGGTTACTTCCCGTCTTCTTTTAATGCCACTAGGACCAGCTTGAGAGTCACTGGACCTCTGTTGCACAACAAATCTGTCCATAGAGCTCTGTACCTCCCGTTCCTTTAAGACTTTCCTAAAATGGGCCATAACATTGTCATTGTACAGGTTGCCAACACGGGTTGCAGTAGATGTGTCAGGGTAATTTTCATCCGTAAAGGTTTGCAGTTCATCCCACTTTGCACACATTTCCTTAATCTCTTTTTTCAATTCCATACTAATTCTCGCTCTTTTTACCACAGGGATGGCACTACCTTGGCGTGTAGCTTGCGCTACATGCCAAGGTATTGTCCAGTGTGGGTAGATTGGTAAAGCACTGTGTACCTTGTCCTAAGGTTCGTAGGTTCGAGTCTCCTTCAGCCAGAGATCAGTGTTTGTGTATATTTCGCCTGCTCTCGCGAATTCCTTGCATATATATACATATATATGTATATATATATAATTGTGGTGTGAATATAATGCAATGTGTGGTGTGAATATAATGCAGAGAATTCGTAGTTTGGAAGTTAGGAGGAGGTGCGGGATTACCAAAACTGTTGTCCAGAGGGCTGAGGAAGGGTTGTTGAGGTGGTTCGGACATGTAGAGAGAATGGAGCGAAACAGAATGACTTCAAGAGTGTATCAGTCTGTAGTGGAAGGAAGGCGGGGTAGGGGTCGGCCTAGGAAAGGTTGGAGGGAGGGGGTAAAGGAGGTTTTGTGTGTGAGGGGCTTGGACTTCCAGCAGGCATGCATGAGCGTGTTTGATAGGAGTGAATGGAGACAAATGGTTTTTAATACTTGACGTGCTGTTGGAGTGTGAGCAAAGTAACATTTATGAAGGGGTTCAGGGAAACCGGCAGGCCGGACTTGAGTCCTGGAGATGGGAAGTACAGTGCCTGCACTCTGAAGGAAGGGTGTTAATGTTGCAGTTTAAAAACTGTAGTGTAAAGCACCTTTCTGGCAAGACAGTGATGGAGTGAATGATGGTGAAAGTTTTTCTTTTTCGGGCCACCCTGCCTTGGTGGGAATCGGCCAGTGTGATAATAAAATAATAATAATAAATATAATTGTAGTTAACTACATAAGAAATCCTACTTAAGTCTGTCTAAATCTTAAGTAATATTTAAGCATTAGGATTAGATTGCCCAAAGTACATTGCATAATAAGTGCCTTTCTTTTCTGCCTACAAATGTTTTATGACATGCAAACTACATTTTTTGTACTGCATAAATAAATAAAAATGTATAACGTAACCCAATAAAGAAAGTCAGTGTGTTATTGGGGACTTTTATTTATATTGGAGTCCTTTAATTTTGTTCCCCAGGATACAACCCACAACAGTCAACTAACACACAGGTACAGGAAGGCCTCGCTTTACTGTGTTTCACTTCATGGCATTTCGCTAGTGCAGCAGTTTTCAGTTTTACTCATTTTTCATTTATAAACACTTCCTACAATAAATATATTCAGCAACTGCTAAATGCTAAGGACAAAAATATTTTAAGGTAAGCAATGTGTGTACTGTATATGCATTTTTTAAGCCTAGCTCTCTTACTTAATGTATGATATACAGTATATGATAGTGTAACTATGTTATCAGGCTTTTATATGCATTTGAAAGCGAAAAAAAAAAAAAGGCTGGAACCTAACCTGCTGTATAATCAGGGCCTGCCTATACCTCCTTTCTGCTAGGTGAACAGCATCAGGTGTAAGAAACCATGTCCAATGTGTGCTTTAATGATAAACATTGTAATAGTGTATTTTTGAGAGAATGCCCACTGTTTTTTTTTATATATATAGAAAAGTTTTGGCTGTATATGTTGAATTTTAGTTTGTTGTACAAACTGCTTACTGATTGGTGTACATCAGTATTCAGCTTCTTTACTTGTGTTCAATGTCTCCTGCACCTATGTTGAGCAGTAGTTGGCTATCATAATGGTCATCAGGTTCCCCCTGATATCTTCTACACAATGGGTGGCTTGAAATTGTTCATTTCACAGAAACTTTATATGCCGAGGCAAAACTTAAGTTCAGATTTCAGTTCAACATCTGAAAATTACTTAAACATGTTTTTATACATGAACTGAAACCACTGTTGGCCAGTGTTATTAACCTGTAACATTAGTAGCCCAGGATAAATCAGGAAAGCCAATCATTGTGGTTTGCCTTCAGCTTGGCTGGACTTCATTTTTGCCAATTCTTGTATAATAGAGCAATATCTTTTCTTAGTACATTAATAAAACCTCATTAATGGATATGGTTGATAGTGTGGTGTTATGTAAATTGGTATGATTTTCTGCATTACTAAACTAATGCGCTAAAATCCGGATCTCCTAGACTGAGGATTTTTACCTTAGTATAGTGGTGTCATTATTGTTTGCTTGTATCCAGGTAATATAATTTCTTTACAGATGAATGAAAATAGAAAAGATGTAAGCAGTAGTAGTGGTAGCACACCTACAACCAGCATCCAACAAGGTGTCCAGGGTGGCAGCCAAGATGTCCAGCAGGATCTCTCTACAGTAGACAAGGTAAAAAGCTAGCTTTAACAAAAACTCTACCCCTCTTTATTTGTTTGAGCCATATAATTATGTGTTTAATGTACTGTACCAGGGTATGTCATACAGACTTTTGTTAATCAAGATTATGATTGACCTCCACAGTTATTGGCCAGCTACACTCACCATGTATCATCACCACCAGATGAAATGTGCTCTATTTGCTTAGACAGTCTACAACTTCCATCAGATTTTGATGAGGATATGAAACTTAAAAAGGATTCTCAGAACAAGTCTCAATCACAGAGTAAGTCACATTCACAGAGTAAGTCGCATTCACAGAATAAGTCACATTCACAAACTAAGTTCACACAGCTATGTACAGTGGAACCTTCGTTTTCGTGATTAATCCGTTTGAAATGAAAAAGTCTGATGAAAACCGAATCATACAAAAACTGAAGCAATATTTCCCATAAGAAATAATGTAAATCCAATTAATCCATTCCAGACACCCAAAAATATTAACAAAAAATACATTTCATAGAGAATAACTATAGTTTTACAGAAAAAATGAGAAATAAATATATATGACTAATGAAATGGATAAATGAACATTTTTACATCACTTTCTCCTTTACTTAAGACTCTTGTTGGCGTATGGAAGATGGCGAGGAGGGGAGAGGGAGGAGGAGAGGTTATTGTTTGGAAGGGGAATCCCCGTCCATAAGGAGTTCAGGTATCAAGGCCCTATCTGGGGTTACTTCCCTTCTTTGTCTTTTACTGGCACTAGGACCAGCATCAGAGTCACTGTACCCCTGTCGCACAAAAAATCTGTCCAGAGAGGCCTTAAATGGGACAAGGCATTGTCATTGAACATGTTGGAGACACAGCTTGCAGCAGCTTCGTTAGGGTGATATTTCTCCACAAAACTTTGCAACTCATTCCACTTTGCACACACGTCCTTAATCACTGAAGAAGATGCATTCTCCCAACTCTCTTCCTCCTCCTCTGAAGCAATTTCCTCAGCTGTGGTCTGTTGCTGTTCCAGTTGAAGGTGTTGCAGCTCTTCAGTGGTTAGCTTTTCCCTGTGGTCCTGCACCAACTCTTCCACATCTAGGCCACTCACATCCAACCCCATGGACTTCCCCAAAGACACAGTAGATTCCACAATAGGCATAGGGTCATCAGGGTCATCCTCAAATGCTTTAAAATCCTTGTCAAGAACACATTTTGGCCACAGTTTTTTCCAAGCAGAGTTCAAAGTTCTGGAAGTCACTCCCTGCCAAGCCTTATCTATAAGGCTTATGCAGTGGAGGATATTGAAGTGATTCTTCCAGAACTCTCTTAGGGTCAGTTCAGTGTCCGAGGTCACTTGAAAGCACCTTTGAAACATTGCTTTGGTGTACAGATTTTTGAAGTTTGAAATGACCTGGTGGTCCATGGGCTGGATGAGAGGAGTGGTATTAGGGGGCAAGAACTTCACTGTGATGAACTTACAGTCCTCAAACAATAGGTCTTCCAAGTCTGGAGGATGAGCAGGAGAATTGTCCATTACCAGGAGGCACTTAAGTGGCAATTTATTTTCCAGGAGGCATTTCTTCACACTCAGGCCAAACACTTCATTGACTCACTCAGTGAAAATTAGCCTCGTGGACTCATGCCTTATTGTTAGCTCTCCACATCACACACAGTTTACTCTTCATGACAATGTTTTTCTTGAACACTTGGGGATTTTCAGCGTGATACACGAATAAAGACTTCACTTTGAAATCCCCACTAGCATTACCACAGAACAAAAGAGTTAGCCTATCCTTCATAGGCTTGTGTCCTGGCAGTGCCTTTTCCTCCTGCGTGATGTAGGTCCTCTTTGGCATTTTCTTCCAACAGAGGCCCTGTTTCGTCACAGTTGAACACTTGATGAGGGAGGAATCCTTCAGCCTCTACGTACCTCTTGAATTCATCAACGAATGCTTCGGTCACGCGTTTGTCAGAACTTGCAGCCTCACCATGCCTTACAACAATGTGTATGCCACTACACTTCTTGAATCTGTCGAATGAGCCTTTGCTGGCCTTAAATTCGCTAACAGCAGCACTCGTTCCTGGCATTTTCTTTAAGAGATCCGCTTGCAACTGTCTTGCTTTCTCGCAAATTATCCCCTCCGAAACACTATCTCCCACTAATTCTCTTATTCATCCACACCAGCAACAACAACTCCACATCCTCGATTGTTTGAGACCTCTGTTTCGTTAGCATATTTACACCTTTCGCAACATCAGCTTCCTTGATTTCTGCTTTCTTCAACAGGATGGAACTGATTGTTGATGTAGATTTCCTATACATCCTGGCCAGCTCCACCACATGTACGCCACTTTCATATTTTGCAATAACTTCTTTCTTGAATTCTATCATGTTTCTCACCTTCTTTACCAAAGGGCTGGCACTTTGAACTTCCTTTGGCTCCCATGGTGGCTTATTTCACAGTTGCAATCAACACACGAGCACCAAAAAAATGGATGGCCATGCGGAATATTCCTAACCCATTGAGAGAGAGAGACAGACCGAGTGCGATACGCGTGAGGAAGCGCATCGCTGGTGGGTGGACATGTCTCATACCAATGATTCTGAGCGGACGGCCGAAATCCAAGGGGGAAATTTCACTGAAAAAAGTGCTCAATTTCCGAATTGGCCAATTTCCACACCAGCTGATATCTGGGGATCCACTGTACTTATTTCTTCTGCCTAAAGTTTGATGATCCATTTCATGTTTTTATCATAGTTGTTCTTAGCCTACATTTATCAAAAGTGTTTTATCAGGTCACTTGCTCTTTTGGATCACAGCATTTTTTGCCTTGCCTTGGGTATAATAAATTGTAATTACCTAGAAATAAATTTGGTATGCTTGGTAATTATAAGGGGTCTGACAATTTAATATCTTAGTACATAGCTTGCCTATTTTTTTGTAATAAATCACTACAAGGACTTTTGTTAAAATGTCTTTTTTTGAACTGCAGTATAATATGGTGCATAATTTTTCCATGTACTGTATTGTTCTCAATAAAAAGTGGACAAAGTCTGGTAGTTAGAGAATTCTAATGACCATATGAACAATTACAGCACTGTTATTGCCTTACTACTCTTAAGTTTGCCCAAGATGCTCTGCATATAAAGGGGCTTTTGGCATGTTCACCAAATTGTTACACTCCTTTGTACAAACATGTATTCAGAGGGTTCTGAATGTCATTTCAGACATCCCATATCAAAACCTAGGCCACCTGAAAAACAAGTCAGGAAACTTAGTTCAAGTACTGCCACTATTGTTCAAAAGAGAAGCTCATATCTTTTCACCTACCATTACAGTGTTGTTCAAAAAATCACTAGTAACTAACACTTTCCCGACAGTACTAAAGATAGCAAGGATTACCCCAATACACAAAAAGTGGAGACCCGACAGATGTGAATAACTTTACACTAATATCTGACTTACCATTGTTATCCAGAAATTTTTGGAAAATTAATCCACGGGAGATTATACCCTATTCTAGCATCACTCAATATACTCAGCCTCAGCCAGTTTGGTTTCAGACCAAATAAAAGCACAAATGATGCAGTCATACAGTTGCTAGACTTCCTTGATACAAGAGGGCCCCACTTATACAGCAGGTTAGGTTCCGGGTTACTGCTGTAAAGTAAAAATTGCTGTAAAGTGAATCAGCCTTTTTTCACTTTTAAGTGCATGTAAAAGTGAGGCTCAGGTTAAGAGAGAGAGAGAGAGATTATTTCCCAGTAAAAGTAGGCCTTAGACAGGGGTGTGTGATGTCACCGTGGTTCTTCAATATACAACCCTCACTTAACGACGGAGTTCTGGTCCTAAGACCACGTTGGTAAATGAATTCATCGCACCATTTATAATATTTTTAGTATATATTTAAATGTTTGTAGGTAGTAGGTTGGTAGACAGCAACCATCCAGGGAGGTACTACCGTCCTGCCAAGTGAGTGTAAAACGAAAGCCTGTGATTGTTTTACATGATGGTAGGATTGCTGATGTCTTTTGTCTGTCTCATAAATATGCAAGATTACAGGCATGTCTTGCTACTTCTACTTACACTTAGGTCACACTACACATACATGTACACATTTATTTATACACACTCATCTGAGTTTTCTTTGATTTTATCTTAATAGTTCTTGGTCTTATTACTTTTCCTTTTATATCCATGGGGAAGTGGAATAAGAATCTTTCCTCCGTAAGCCATGCGTGTTGTAAAAGTCAACTAAAATGCTGGGAACAATGGGCTAGTAACCCCTTTTCCTGTAAAGATTACTAAAAAGAATAAGAAGAAAATTGTTTTCTTTCTTTTTTGGGTCACCCTGCCTCGGTGGGAGACGGCCGACTTGTTGAAAAAAAAAAAAAAAAAAAAAATTTAAATGTTTATACAGTAGTGTACATTGTAATAAACAGAATAGAGGAAAACAGCTCTAACATACATTATTTAGGTATGCATACTGGTCAGAGAGCCTGTCGTAAGTTTGAGTCGTTGGTAAATGAGTATGTCATTAAGTATACCTGGAGAGTGTTTCGAGGTCAACGCCCCCGTGGCCCAGCCTATTTATGGATGGGTTTGTCAAAGAAGTGAATGCTCGGGTGTTGGCAAGAGGTGTGGGGTTAAAAGATTAAGAATCTAACACAAAGTGGGAGTTGTCACAGTTGCTTTTTGCTGATGACACTGTGCTTTTGAGAGATTCTGAAGAGAAGTTGCAGAGGTTGGTGGACGAGTCTGGTAGGGTATGGAAAAGAAGGAAATTAAAAGTGAATATAGGAAAGAGTAAGGTGATGAGGATAACAAAAAATTTAGGTAACGGAAGATTGGATATCAGATTGGAACGGAAGATTGGATATCAGATTGGAGGAAGAGAGTATGGAGGAGGTGAATGTATTCAAATATTTGGGAGTGGACGTGTCAGCAGATGGGTCTGTGAAAGCTGAGGTGAATCATAGAATCGATGAGGAGAAAAAGGTGAGTGGTGCACTGAAGAGTCTGTGGAAACAGAACATTATCCATGGAACCAAAGAGGGGAATGTATGAGAGTATAGTTATACCAACGCTCTTACATGGGTGTGAAGCTTGGGTGGTGAATATTGCAACAAGAGAAGGCTGGAGGCAGTGGAGATGTCATACCTGAGGGCAGTGTGTGGTGTGAATATAATGCAGAGAATCTGTAGTTTGGAAATTAGGAGGTGGTGAGAGATTACCAAAACTATTCAGATGGCTGAGGAGGGGTTGTTAAGGTGGTTCGGACATGTAG